AAGTTTTTTCCATCCTGATTTTACAGAGATGACTTTTACCTTTCTTTTTTTTAATAAAATCCTTCTTTTAAGAACCTGACTGCTTTTTCCATTGTTCCAAGATCCAGGGGGTTGGGTCTTTGATGATTTTGTAACAAATTGGTTAGGTTATTATTCTCAAGCCTCCCCAGGAAAGGGGATGTGTAAGGCTTGGGGGGATATTTTGGGGGAAGACATCTCCAAGTGGTCTCTTTCCCTCTTCTTTGTTTAAAATGCTTGGTGGTGGCAGCATACTGTTCAAGAACAAGGCAAAGTTTGTACCTTGGGGAAGTTTTTAATCTAAGATGGTAAGAATAAGCTTAGGGGGTCTTTCATGCAGGTCCCTACATCTGAACCCTGACAGATTACATGTTCAAAGTCATTTTAATAATTCTGACTGGCACACAAAATTTCATTTATAGAATGGGTATTGTGAAAGCAGGCATCTTGGTATTTGGGGCAGGTAACAAGCATGCAAAACAGATTGGGTCTTCTTGGACGTTACCTAAATTACTGCACTGACAAAAGGGCAAAGAAATAATAGTAGGTAAAACATCTGCCAGAAGCTGGATTGCCAAAAAAAAAGGTCTCATGAGTATAAATAATCACTGTTAACAAAGGTGTTTTTTTTGAAACCGTGAATAGTTTAAGGCACAGACACCTGTTTCCATGAGAACAGGAACAGTATCCAGAAACCAAGTCCTTAGAGTTCTTGTCAATTGCACAGAGCTAACGCAGGAGGCTGCAAATACGTACTGCACGTATGGACGTTAGGACCAGACAGAAGTCAACAATGGGTTATCTGGGGTGCGGGGGGAAAGGGGAGAGACAGATTTTATGATAACATTTTAAAATCTCTTAATATTTTTGAAAGACGAGGAACCTTTTAGTTTATGCTGATTTTTAAAAATAGAATGTTAATAGTTATTTCTTTTAAACATTTTAAAATGTTCATCAAGAAGTGAATTTATTCTGGAAAACTGCATCTTTTGAGTGGCTAAAGACATGAGGCCAAACCTCAAGCACACGGATATTGAGGATAACTCCTCATTGGCTTAGTCCTGCAGAGTTGTTCCCACAATTGATTTACATTCACATATCTTTTCCTTTAGGATCTTCCACATTTGAGACTCTATCACATACTGTTTTAGTATATGGTAGCACAAGTTCTTTGTAACTGCAGATGAGTTGTATATTTTGGGTAAGTTATACATAGGGCCCTACCAATTTCACATCCACGAAAAACACGTCATGGACCTTGAAATAAGCCCTTCCCCTTGAAATTGATGTTCCCTTGTTCCTAGGAGCGCCCCAGTAAAGGGGGATCCTAGCTCCGGCTGGGCTGGAGAGGGACAGGACTTGGGGAGGGGAGAGGGGGGAAGAGGAGACCAGACCCACCTCCGGGTGCCCCTCCCCGCTGCAGGACACTCTGGGACTGGGCAGCAGCCCCAGAGGTTCCTGCAGCTGAAGGAAGCTTGTGGAGTTAGATTCGATCTTTCCTGTGCTGCTGGGAGCCCCCCAGCAAAGGGGGCTCCTAGCTGCTAGTCCGAGGAGGGCTGGGGCAGGACAGGACTTGTTCTTTCCCTGCAGGGCTGCTCTTGGGTATCTCTCCTTGCTGCAGATAGCTCTGCACACTCTTATCCCCACTCTGTCCAGCTCTGAAGGCAGGACAGAAGTGAGGGTGGCAATCCCCCATGACCCCGCTACAACAGATTTACGACACCACCCCTCCCCCCCCCCCGCACACACACAAATCCCTTTTGGGTCAGGACCCCCACAGTTACAACACAGTGAAATTTCAGATTTAAACATCTGAAAACGTGAAATTTACCAATTTTCAAATCCTATGGCTGTGAAATTGTCCATAAGGGACCGTGAATTTGGTAGGGCCCTAGTTATACAGGAAAGTCTTTTTACATCAGGTTTCCATATAATTTGCACAAATATTACCCAGGACTTAATAGAAAGCTGAGGGTTCATGTTTTCTATAGTAAAAATAAATGTCCTTAATTGACACATTATACGTTCACTGTCCATTTATATATTTCTAATGTGACCATCATCATAGCATGTGGGTCCATTAGTTTGAAATACAGTAAATAGCCCTTGCTTGATATATATGGGGAACTATACATGCTGCATGAGGAATTATGTGCATGTATGAGTGGGAGACCTCTAGGGAAACAGAGGAGCTGAAGAAATTGATGCTTGCAGTTCAGTGGGTGACATTCTTCACGCTGAATAAAGCCCCTGATGTTATGTAGCACTGTACTCCTTTAGAAGCTCTCTTTCAGATGAGGTGTAAAAGTCAGGACTGAACACTTGTGTGGTGATTTTAAAAAAATCAATTTTGGCTAAAGTAGCAATCTAACCCTAATTCCAATGGTGGCAATCACCAGAGATTGGAACAATTTTTGCATCAAAATCCCACACCAGACAAAACTAATCTGATTTAAAGGTTCATTGTGAAAGATGAACTAAATGGCTCACATAAACTCTACCCCAGGTTTGCAAAACTTTTAGAATACCTGGGCAGCCCTGGACTACCTAGGAAACCCCCCTCCCCAACCATGTCCCTTCTTTCCCACACATAGTCTCCTTTCTTCTGAAGGATCTAGGGCCCTTCTTTCACCCAGGAGTTGGCTCAACAGGGCCCTGCCCCCTAACTTCCTCTTTTGTGTGTCATCTGGTGGCTTCAGGGCCTCTATTCATTCCTGTCTCAAAGTCTTTATGAAACATAGGGATGATCTGCTCTCTGCAGATCAGCTGTCTCCTGGCTGCCATGTTAGAAAGGAAAACCATTCAATTCCTGATACTGCATCTGAACTCAAGCAGGGGCCTGAGACATCACACACAGCTCTACTACAAAAGTTTAGACAGTGTTTTAACAAGAACAACGAGGAGTCTGGTGGCACCTTAAAGACTAACAGATTTATTTGGACATAAGCTTTCATGGGTAAAAAACTGCACTTCCATCTGAAGCAGTGGGTTTTTTTACCCTTGTGCCCAAATAAATCTGTTAGTCTTTAAGGTGCCACCGGACCGCTTGTTTTTGTGGATACAGACTAACACGGCTATCCCTCTGATACTTGTTTTAACAAGATTGCTTGGCACTGCAGGGTTAAATAAACCCCAAACTCCAGGCAAACTTCAATTATAAATCCTTAATATTTATTATGTAAGTCACCGTGCAGTAAAATAACTGCCCAAGAATCATCACACCATGTCTCTCCCTAGATGTGGCTGTACTGTAAATATAGTACTCAATTGTGCAGTCCTTACTCATGGGACTAGTCCTGCTGAAGTCAATGCTTTTACACATGTGAGCAAGGGATACAGGTTCAAGTTTAAAAAGCCCTTTGCTGCTGGAAGAAAGGTGCTGTATAATGTAAAATCAATACCCTTAACTCTCTTGCAGAGCAAGTTGACAATAAATTATACCCAATGCAAAATATTCTGCTAATTGTATTAATGTTACCTCATGGCAACTTTGGAAAAAATATTTTGTTAAAAAAGAAAAAATCCGCAATGAAATTAGAAGCAAAAAACTCAGGCTGCAGATAACTGGTGTGCATGTTGCTTTTGCAGGACGATCATATGGCTTGTAATTGATGCAATTTCTTGCAATAACAAAATGTTCCTGACCTTTTACTGGTCACAAAGCAAATGTACTTTTACTATGTCAAGTAAAATCAAATATCTCTCCTTTCCACTTCCTGCTAGTTCTCAAGGATGCAGTTATATTCTATCCAGCTTAATAAGAAATTTGAACTAAATCGATTAGATTAGAACATAATAGTTTAAGATGTTGATGGCCACCAAAATGCTATCTCAATTTTCCTTCTTCAGTACTTTTCCTACATCTATTCAGATACAAGGGAGCAGAGAGTGAGTGAGTGAGGGAGAGAGAGAGAGGGATTTGAGTATGGCACTAAAGAATCTAGTGGTTTTATTAAATGTAAAGTCAGGAAATAAAATGTGGGTCACAGTCATTTCCCCCTGCTGATTGGTAGGTAGTTCCTGCATCAGGCACTGATGATCCCTATCAAAACATCATGCTGCCACAGAAAGAATTCAGTATATTACGCCATACGTGGGAGCCACAGGCAGGCAGACGGGCTCTTGTCCTTCTTGGAAGTATTAGCTTAGCAAAGTCCCGCTCTACTGTACAGAATGCAGAGGGCTGAATCCTCATCTGCAATAGAGCAGAGCTCAGCATAGCTGAGGGAAGAGGGAAATGGCTCTAAGGCACTTCACTGTTGTTCCGTGCACCTTAAAGCTGGCTGTGGACCGACCTACCCCCACAGTGTGTGGCCCCCTACAGGACACTACACTGACAAACAAGGATCACCAGAGTGCAGTGTTCTCCTAACTTGCCCCTGAAATGCCCCCAACATGCCCATTATGTTGGAGAGGAGGGACAGGAAAGATCTGCCATGGAGCTAGCCCTATAGGATATCTTTATGCTGGACAGGGATTCCTTAACATGCATCTGGCCCAAAGTATTTTACTTTCTTTGCAGAGATTCCAGAATTAATTAATTCATGTTTATAAAACACTTTGTGAAAAGTGCTATATGAATACAAGGTATTTTTATTTTTATATCTCATATTAGCCAACGGTGTGGTGTGCAGCTTGGGGCCCTGTGACAAGCTTTTGAGGGCCCTGAAAACCCCTAGATTTTGCTTGCTAACTTATTCAGGTCACTAAATTTTAGCCAACATAGAAGAGGGTATCATATACCATCATGGGTTGTTTTTACTTCTGACGTATGCAGTTAACATTACAACAAACGTTACAGCAAAATCCAGCAGAAAATGCTTTCACTTCTGAGTATAAAATCTTCACTTTTCCCAAGTTACTAATAGCTTGTACTGTGCCAGGTCTCTTGCAAGTACAGATGCTATTATCTTTCTATTCTTCTTCTTAAGAGCCAGCAGCTCCAAAGCCAACTGGTAACAAAAGAAACTTCTTTGCAAGAGATGAAATCAGAGTTGGAAATCTACAAAGAAAATAATACTAGACCGTCCTCCAAAATTCAGACCCTAAAAGCTCAGGTCAAGGAGCTAGAAGAAATCGCTACATCTGTAACCCGTGTAAAGTCACAGTCAGGTGCCTATATTTATACTCTCAAAAGGAAGAACCAAGAGTTAAGTGAAAGAGTCTCAGAATTAGAAAAACATCTGAGGTAAGGTTCCAAGTCCCTTTCAAAAGTGTCAGTTTTACCAGACACCAAGTGTGTTAACAACAATTTGACTGTAATAGACTAATGCATGATAAACTCAAAAAAGAGAAACATTATTGTCTCCCAATATCCAATGCACCTCTGTTACCCACCACAATGAGTATCTATGTACTGAATGAAAAGAGGGCATTTAGGATCCATTGGGTCAGATTCTGACTTGAGTTACATCATAGAATCATAGAATATCAGGGTTGGAAGGGACCCCAGAAGGTCATCTAGTCCAACCCCCTGCTCGAACCAGGACCAATTCCCAGTTAAATCATCCCAGCCAGGGCTTTGTCAAGCCTGACCTTAAAAACCTCTAAGGAAGGAGATTCTACCACCTCCCTAGGTAACGCATTCCAGTGTTTCACCACCCTCATAGTGAAAAAGTTTTTCCTAATATCCAATCTAAACCTCCCCCACTGCAACTTGAGACCATTACTCCTCGTTCTGTCATCTGCTACCACTGAGAACAGTCTAGAGCCATACTCTTTGGAACCCCCTTTCAGGTAGTTGAAAGCAGCTATCAAATCCCCCCTCATTCTTCTCTTCTGCAGACTAAACAATCCCAGCTCCCTCAGCCTCTCCTCATAAGTCATGTGTTCTAGACCACTAATCATTTTTGTTGCCCTTCGCTGGACTCTCTCCAATTTATCCACATCCTTCTTGTAGTGTGGGGCCCAAAACTGGACACAGTACTCCAGATGAGGCCTCACCAATGTCGAATAGAGGGGAACGATCACGTCCCTCGATCTGCTCGCTATGCCCCTACTTATACATCCCAAAATGCCATTGGCCTTCTTGGCAACAAGGGCACACTGCTGACTCATATCCAGCTTCTCATCCACTGTCACCCCTAGGTCCTTTTCCGCAGAACTGCTGCCTAGCCATTCGGCCCCTAGTCTGTAGCGGTGCATTGGATTCTTCCGTCCTAAGTGCAGGACCCTGCACTTATCCTTATTGAACCTCATCAGATTTCTTTTGGCCCAATCCTCCAATTTGTCTAGGTCCCTCTGTATCCTATCCCTCCCCTCCAGCGTATCTACCACTCCTCCCAATTTAGTATCATCCGCAAATTTGCTGAGAGTGCAATCTACACCATCCTCCAGATCATTTATGAAGATATTGAACAAAACCGGCCCCAGGACCGACCCCTGGGGCACTCCACTTGACATCGGCTGCCAACTAGACATGGAGCCATTGATCACCACCCGTTGAGCCCGACAATCTAGCCAGCTTTCTACCCACCTTATAGTGCATTCATCCAGCCCATACTTCCTTAACTTGCTGACAAGAATACTGTGGGAGACCGTGTCAAAAGCTTTGCTAAAGTCAAGAAACAATACATCCACTGCTTTCCCTTCATCCACAGAACCAGTAATCTCATCATAAAAGGCGATTAGATTAGTCAGGCATGACCTTCCCTTGGTGAATCCATGCTGGCTGTTCCTGATCACTTTCCTCTCATGCAAGTGCTTCAGGATTGATTCTTTGAGGACCTGCTCCATGATTTTTCCAGGGACTGAGGTGAGGCTGACTGGCCTGTAGTTCCCAGGATCCTCCTTCTTCCCTTTTTAAAAGATTGGCACTACATTAGCCTTTTTCCAGTCATCCGGGACTTCCCCCGTTCGCCACGAGTTTTCAAAGATAATGGCCAATGGCTCTGCAATCACAGCCGCCAATTCCTTCAGCACTCTCGGATGCAACTTGTCCGGCCCCATGGACTTGTGCACGTCCAGCTTTTCTAAATAGTCCCTAACCACCTCTATCTCCATAGAGGGCTGGCCATCCCTTCCCCATTTTGTGATGCCCAGCGCAGCAGTCTGGGAGCTGACCTTGTTAGTGAAGACAGAGGCAAAAAAAGCATTGAGTACATTAGCTTTTTCCACATCCTCTGTCACTAGGTTGCCTCCCTCATTCAGTAAGGGGCCCACACTTTCCTTGGCTTTCTTCTTGTTGCCAACATACCTGAACAAACCCTTCTTGTTACTCTTGACATCTCAGTGTTAGTCCTGAGCAGCTACATTGAATCAGTGGAATTACTCAGGAATTACATTAATATGAGTAATAAAGGTAAGATTACCCAACTCTTCATTTATTTGCAGAGATTATGGGGATCGGTGCAGTGACAGTTTGTATTGCAAGTTCAATTTTGACTGCCCTGCTTTTCTGAGCACTCTGAGAAACGAAGCTACTGCCTAACATTTTCTTTGGTAGTCTCTGGCCAAGTGAGGAAGTGCTTTTGTCCCAGGTCAAATCCAAAACTGGAAGGGACCTTTCCAACTCTCACACAACAGTGTAAATCTCATGAGAACAGCTGTGTTTGTGGAATCTCTGTCATGCTTGGCACCTCTCTATCAAACGGCTACCAGAGCTCCTACCTCAAGTACCTGAAGTGCAGCATCTTCCCCCTTGCCCCAACCACACTACTGGAAGTGCTATAGGCAACAGTGGAATCTGCACCCATGGCACACTTCCAATGGAATCCTACTCTCAGCATCAGCAGCTCCACTAAGCGAAACAAACAGCATCTCTTCCACAGGCCTGGAGCCCCCACTGTTTCCCTCTATTCATATCCATGGAGATGGAGTTTGGCTGACTGAGGTATTGTGGAAGGGGTGTCTCCTGCAGGTACTCCCGTATGCTGAAAACAAAGGACTACAAAAAGATGTGCCATCCCACCTGCAGCCCTCAGCATGTTGGGTGAGGGGAATGACAGGATCACCACTGAGCTCCAGAGATCTCCAACTGGTGGAGAGCCCTTGGGAGTCACAGCCAGCTGATGTACATTAGAGCAACCAAAGCCCTCTCAGATGCAATAATACTACTTGCAGGAATTGCAGTGCATTACTTGTCCATGAGACTGCATGCCTGGTTGGGGACTCCACGAGTATATTAATGAACAGAAGGGATGGAGTAAATAAAGAAATGAGGCTGCTAAATTTTTCTGTTGAATGAAACTCATGTTTCAACACCACATTTTAAATTTGTCTCTCTTCAGTATTGGTTTTTATTCCCTGGTTAAAAGCATAACAATGGCATAAAATGTTGAAGCTGTGTCTGTAGATGATTTGCTTTTATTATGCAGTTTCCAACGCTCTTGAAGGAACATTCACTAGAAAAGACAAGAATTGCACTTCTTGAAAAAGCCTTGGCTACTCAAGAAATGGAGCTTAAAGCTAGTAGGGAAACAATAGTGAATCTTGTTTCAGAAATGAAAAAGGATAAAAAAACAGCAGCTGGCCACACTGAACAACTGGCAATACTAAAGAAGATAAAGGCAATACTTTCCATTAATCTCTTTTACCAACTATCAGTGATATAGCATAGTGGATAAGGGCCAGATTGCCTGGTCATACAAGGAAGAGCAAGATGCTCCCTTATTCCTTTGCATTGGCTGCCTGTGTTGTGAGTAACAGTGCAGGGTGCGGAGCAGAGCAGCTTCTGCAGGGCTGCTATATGCCTTCACTGTTCCAGCTAGCATAGACATGCAGGTGTGCTGGGGGAAGTACCCTGCACCCCTTGTTGACCTGGTGCAGAGTAGTTTCTACGTTGAGTAAGGTGGAAGGCAGATTGTGACTCTCATTGTCAACAATAGATAATTTTCCTAGAGTAAACAGGCTCTTTGGTGTTGGGCCTTACTACAGAGGCTGACCCATATTAATTTGGGGGCCTAATGGATGACTCAGAGGGGGTCCCAAAGCAGACACCACAATGACGAGGGCAGTGATCATGCACCATGCTGGTGTGAGGCTCAAGTAAACAATTCGAGTGGTGGCCTGACAAAAGACACTCCTTTCCCTATTTTGGGATGAACAACTCAGGAGAAAAGGTATGACTTCTTTGCATTATGGAAATATTGGCAGGATTGAAATATTTCATTTGCACAACTGCGCCTGGCAAAATTGTATCCATCCCAATAAGAAAACAATAACCCTCTTGGAATGCTTTAGCAGCACAGATATTATTTAAAGAGGTTGAAAAACCTATCCTGGATTCTTGTCTGAATGAAACAGAAGCCCCCCCAAAGAGGCCATGCTGACAGACTCAGAAATATTGCATTACTGTAATTTTCTTGCCCTTAGGAGAAGGATGAGGCTGTATTGACCAAGAACACCTTTGAAAGGAATAACACCATTCTCTTAGAAAGATTGAAAGACAAGCAAATAGCTTGGGATAACTGTTGCCAAGAATTGCTCCATAAAGAGAAAAAATTCACTGAGTTAGATAGAGCTCTGCATGCCTCCATGTATGAGACTAAAACTACACAGACTTTATATCAAACCTTCATCAGTCAACTGGCTACACTTCTGAGCAACACCTTCATAACTGTGGCTGGGACGGAGGAAGCTATTAAAGAAAGGATACAAGAAATCCGTGGCAGTGAACATTCTTGGAAATCTGTGAGTACAGTACTATCAAACCTAGCCTTTATGACTACAATTTTGGTAAATCTGTTCTGAGAACCATGCTGTTCAACATATTCATAATTGATCTGAAAAAGGGGGTAAACCATGAGGTGGCAAAGTTTGCAGACAATACAAAATTACTCAAGATAGTTAAGTCCAAAGCTGACTGCAAAGAGTTACAAAGGGGTCTCACAAAATTGGGTGATTGGGCAGCAAAATGTCAGATGAAATTCATTGTTGATAAGTATAAAGGAAAATTGGAAAACATAAGCCCAACTATACATACAAAATGAAGGGATTTAAATTAGCTGTTACTACTAAAGAAAAAAATCTTGGCATCATCGTGAATCGTTCTCTGAAAACATACACTCAACATGCAGCAGCAGTCAAAATAGCTAACAGAATGTTAGGAACCATTAGGGAAAGGATCGATAATAAAACAGAAAAGTATCATAATGCCACTCTATAAATCCCTGGTACACCCATACCTAGAATACCGTGTGCAGTTCTGGCCATCCCATCCTCCCAACCCTCGCAAAATATTAGAATTTGAAAACGAACAGAGAAGGGCAACAAAAATGATTATGGGTATGGAACAGCTTCCATATTATGAGAGATTAGAAAGACTGGGACTATTCATTTTAGAAAAGAGATGACTGACTGCCAGAAGCTGGGACTGGATGACAGGAGATGGACCACTTGATAATTGCCCTGTTCTGCTCATTCCCTCTGAAGCATCTGGCATCAGTCATTATTGGAAGACTGGATACTGGGCTAGATGGATCATTGGTTTGACCCAGTGGTTTGGCCATTCTTATGGTCTTATTTTATTCTGTGAATAAAAACAATGGGACAAATTCATCCCTACTGAAACTTTGCTGACTTTAGTGGGATGACAGCAGGGATAGATTTGGCCTATTATTACAACAAAACAATATTATAAAGAAATATACTTATATTTCTTATATTTTAGGAACAGTTCAAGAAAGCAAACAAATGGATTTCATTATGTAAAATGGAAGGCTGAGAGGTAACATAGTGTTTCAACAATTTTTTACAGCTAGAACAAAATGTTTACCTGTACACTAATTTTGATTCCCACAAATAGTGTGTTGAAGACTTGTAGAATGCAGAAAACCCCATTTAATTTTTTTGTAAAAGGAGAGATCTCATTTGAAAAGCATTCTCTCCTCCACCATGTGATCACTGCAGGAAGACAGAAAGTTGTACAATTCCTACATACCCAAAAGTGAAATTGTCTCCCTTTGTGCTCAGTGAGGGGTGAAAATCTATAGCCTTTGTTTTCAGGAGGTCATACCAGATTGTCATAATGGTCTTAAAAATCTATCATTTTTTTCCTATGTTGGAGCTTTGCTCAGTGTTTGTGGGGGGCAGAAGGGAATCAGGGAGACAGTTATTTACTCCAGATTTATGCCAGCATAGCAGAGGATAAATTTGGCCCATTGTGTCTCTTTACTACTAGAACTTATTTTTAGGCCAGAGCTAACTAAAAAATAATGCACGTTAGCAGAAATGCAAGAATTAATTTTATACAAATAGCTTAGCAACACTAACAGTATGATATGCATAAATAAGAATGGAAAGAAAATAGCCTTTGACAATATAAACTTACTCTTACTGAAGCAATAGAGAATCATATGACCTTGCTTTAAATTACAGATGGATTAATATTTTTATTTTGTGACTAACCCTATAACTACAATGGGCCAATTTCATTCCTAGTGAAACTTCACTGACTTTAGTTTAATCTGTAGATCACAGATGTACTGAATTTGAAAAGTCAGCCTTAAAACAGCTTGAAGCACTTACCTGTTAACACTTTGGTGTGCTGCTACAGCCACCGTGGTCTCCCTCTTACAATATGTACTGAGTATTGACACTGGGGATTATCTCACTCATTGTGGCATTGAATAAGATGAGAAAATAATGAACTGCCAATGCTATATCTGATCTGGGAGAAGATCCATCCATTTCTAAATTAAGAGAAAAAATTGGAAGTAACATTTGCAGTAAGTTTTAAATATTTCCCCCCACTACATTGTAAAAGAAAGGTAAATGAATAATTTTGTAAACAAATATTAATGAAAGGGCCAGTAAATGTAATGATATATTTAGCAACATGTTTGCCATTAGGTCTGTAATATTTAGTCTCTTCCTCAAAAATTTCAAACTAGAAACAAACTCTTAGCCAAGATTCTTCTGTGAAATTGTGAAGTAAAATACTCTCCAATATGAATTAGAATAGCATCTGCTGTCACACTATGTAGCTAAATATTATAAGGTTTTTTTCATACATCATGGCATAAGCAATAGGTTTCAAGAAAGATATTTGGCATACTATTGCTCTATGGCATAATGTTTATTCCTGGGGGAATTGTGCGTCACAGCGTGTGTGCAGAATTCATAGCCCCCACAGATTTCTTTGCTTACCGACAGAAAAATGACTTCTGATGGGGAAGCAAAGGGAAGCTGCAAGAATGGTCATGTGCCCACTCCCTGTCAGTGCAGACTGGTCAGTTTGGGTACCCAGAGCAGCTGGTAGAGACGTAAATCACCACCTGTGTGTGTGTATGGGCGGGGGGGAACTTGGTAGTCATGTGTGAGAGAGAGAGAGACACTCTTTCTCTCTTGCTCGCTATTGCAGCATGCTCAGTGTGGCAGGGCAGGGCTTTGGGGTATTTCTGAAGAGGTAGGTGTGGGGCAGGCTCTGTTCCCACAGGCAAGGGAGAATGTAGCAACCTGCATGCTTAGTGAATTGTTCCCATTGTTCTTAGTGAATTTCCCCAGGAGTATAAAACAGGTGCAAACATATTTAGGCTCCTTTACATTGCCAGAGTGGGTTAAAGGAGCCTTATTGTAAAGGACAGTATGGCCTTATAAAGGTTTATGGTGTTTTAGTGATTAGAACTGGTCTAAAGTTTTGGACTGAAAAAAATTTCCTATCAAAATGTGCTCTATGACCTGTTTGTGACTGACCTTTCTGGAGACGGACAGTAGCCAGTATAAATTGTGAGTTTGAGTCCCCAGCCCTCACTTGCTCTTCAGTTGTCAATGATGTAACACTGAGCATATGGCTGCATATATTTGTTGACTAATAATTAGAAGTAAAGGGTTAATACTCTGTTAAACAGAGGGGGTTTGGTGATTTCCTCCAGTGCTCCCCATTCCCATTCTCCATCCATTGTATTGTAGTTTAAATAAATTACCAAAATAATTGAAACGAGCTGGATTATATTGCATTATTTTGACATAAAATATGCAGAATTTTAAAATATTGTGTGCAGAATTTTTATTTTTTTTTAATGCAGAATTCCCCCAGGAGTAAATGTTGCACAATTGGCCTGAAACATTAGGAGGATTTCATCTCCTCAAATACATCACATATTGGCTATTGCTGGAGGTGGGATACTACACTAGATGGACCATTGATGCCTTCCAATATGGCGGTCCAATGTTCTTAAACTACCTTGGATTGTAATCCTCTGGGACAAAATAGCATTGGCTTTATTATGATGTTTGTGACAATATATAGTCCAAATTCTGCACTGTTCTGCATGGGTGCATTAGGAGAGGTAACCTCTTTCTTCCAGTTCTTTAGCAGGGTGGCATTCCTACCTAGCCCACAATAGAGGGCTTGGGAGGGGGATGGACTCCTATGATGAAACATGGCCCAAAATGGGGCATGATTGGCTAACTAGGGGGTATGGACAGTCCCTCAGCCATCAGTGCACATTCTGCCATTGGAAGCATGCATTAGCCTCAGATACACATTGGTCCTTTTTAAAAGAGCAGCCTGCATCCTGGAATGTTGCATAGGATGGCAGAGCGCACACTGGGCTGTATTTCTGGTTATCCTCACAGTGCTGGCAGGGATTTGGCCCCAAGAAGAGTAGTTCTGAAACTCTCTTGAAAGTGGATGTATCAGAACATAAGGATGCCAGGAAGTAACAAGTATGTCAAAGTGCCAAATTGCTGTCTTTTACCCATAGAAAACTGATGAGCTGCAGCAGAAAGTTCTGTCACTAACCAGTCAGCTAGAGCAGCAGCATGATCTATATCATGAGGCTCTGAGTAAATCCTATAAAGCTGAAGAAGTGCTTCAAAAACAAAAGGGATCCCTAAAGCGCGTGGGGAAAAAAAGCTTGCTGCAGAAGATTTGCTCTTAGAGAGATTTATGTCCGAAAGGAAGAAAGTAAGGAGACTTCTTTAAAGTTCACACCGACGTCTCGCAACAGAAACACTGACACTGCAGAGTCAAACTGCATTTAGCTCTGATGGGGCAGAGGAACTGGGTAGAAAGCAGGAAGGGCCTAGTCCTGCAAGGTGCTGACACAGCCCTCAACTTTCATTGACTTCATTGGCATTGAGGGTGCTCAACACTCTGAAGGAAGCACTCACAGGTTCTGCAAGGGCAGACTCCAGGAAAAAGGCCCAGTGTGTAAATGTATTGGCAGGTTTCCAGTGGTAGTGGCCAGTGAGGAATTAGGGTCCTGCGAGAGATACAAACAACATACACTTCTAATCTTACAACTGTACATCATTTCTTTTCTTTTTACCTTCCATGTTATCCCATTCTCTTCTTCACTCTCTTCCTCTCCTCATCGTTCTCCTTTTTACATTCTCATCTCTTCCTGTCTGTCCCCCTACCATTTGCTCTCATGCTTTCTCAGATGGATCTCTACATTTTCCTCCTCCTCTATCATCTCTCTTTTCTTCCCATCATCCCTGCATAGCTTCTTCCCTTTCCCAGATTTCCAATTTTGTGGGTGGCAGCACCCCCTGTTTTGAAGTGGTTTCCATTATATGCAGGGTTTACTATTTTGTTCAATGGCTTCCAGCATTCCCACTCTAAAAATTGTTCCAGTGCCATTGCAACCATGTGGTGTTTGTATGGAAGGTCTGCCCTAGAGGAAAGGGAAGCAAACAGCACAACTTCTCTGCTTTTCGCTGGTTTCAGGGCCTTCCATCCTTTCTCCCCGATTTTGCTCCTCCTGCTGCTAGGTAGCATCTAGCTTATAATACATCTAAGCAGATGATTCTCTAACCTGCTTTAACTGATTGTGACTAACAAACACTCCCATAATGCACCAGCTGAACAAGTAAGGGAAGAAACTTAAAAATTGGAGCAGTAGGTATGTCATTTTGTAATATGTGTTTCAAAGCACTGGAATACAATTTAAAGAGTCTTTATGGACTGTAGCAGGGCGCACTTTGCTCCTGGTCTAGCACCACAGATGCTGTTCAGACTTCACTGGTTAGGTATTCACGCTGTGCAGTTTATTTAAATTCCTTCCATCAATATCTTTACAGGTTTCAGAGTAGCAACCGTGTTAGTCTGTATCCGCAAAAAGAACAGGAGTACTTGTGGCACCTTAGAGACTAACAAATTTATTTGAATATAAGCTTTCATGGGCTACAGCCCACTTCATCAGATGCATAGAATGGAACATATAGTGAGAAGATATACATACATACAGAGAACATGAAAAGGTGAAAGTTGCCATACCAACTCTAAGAGGCTAATTAATTAAGATAAGCTAATATCTTTACAGTTCATGCAGCAATACTATTTACAACATCCCTTGTACCATCAGCCCTTTCACTCAGAGCCCAAGAGGAGGAGAAGTCTCCCTTCCTTGTGTGCTCTCTAAGGCCTGGTCTACACTAGAAAATTAGGTCAGTATACCTATATTGCTTAGGGGTATCCCTGAATGACACAGTTAAACCAACCTAACCCAGTGAAGACAGCACCTAGCTATTGCCTCTTGGGGAGGTGGATTACCTACACTGACAGAAGAACCCTGCCTGTCAGCATAGGTAGCATCTTCACTGAAGTACTGCATTTATGCCACAGTAGCAGTTCATGCGTAGACAAGCCCTAAGTCTGAGCTCAGGCAACCCTGCTCCTCTCTTACTGCACTTGCTTCCTGTGCCTTTTTATCAGCACTCAGCTGATGGGCTAAGGAATCCTTAGTGCAGGAGCCTGCCAGCCTGATTAGATAGTTCAATCAGACCTCTCTGGGGAAACAATTAGTGCCAGAGAGATCAGAGTTCTGGCTCAATTCCTAGCTTACAGCACTCTGTCACATGAACATTTTTTTATACTTATACAGAAAAATGTATAAATGTCTTTGTAGAAAATGTATTTCTAATAACAAGGATGTGAAGTAATAAAAGGGGGGAGAGAACAAGTAAAAAGACACTAAAAAGAAAATAAGAAAAGGAGTACTTGTGGCACCTTAGAGACTAACCAATTTATCTGAGCATGAGCTTTCATGAGCTACAGCTCACTTCATCAGATGTCATCAAAAGAAAATGACTCTTAAATGACCTGTTTGTAACCTTGACTAGAATCATGCTAAAGATTGTTTAATACACTTTACTCGCTTGCTTCTTATGCAGCACATGGGGTTTCTGCAAGAGCTGACAGAGAAGCTACAGATTAATCAGGTTAGCTCACCAGAAAGTCTGCACTGCCAATATGAAATGCTCTTGGACAAAGCAGAACAGCTCAGTAAACTGGATACAGAATATCAAACAAGAACTGCATCTTTAATTTGCAGAAGGTCAGTGTAAATTCTCATTTTCACATTTTAAAGACCATTTCTCTTGTTGAGAATGGCTGATCAACATTACTAAGCTGCATGAGTCTTGTAGTAATGTCTGCACTTCTGTCATAAACCCCTGTAGGAACTGGATGAATGACAATGTCCACTGAAAAATACATAGATAAGTAGATTTTCATTCAAATGAAATCAAAATTAAGCCTAATCAAAAACAGAAAATATATTCTTCTTCCAATTGAACTGTAAACCTTGGTAACTGATACAGAATTTGTTATTTTCACCTGAAAATGCCAAAGATATCATATTTCAAATAACTTGTTTTATGATTTCAGTACTTGGTTATAAATAGGAATTCTGGGCAAGTTTTACACCTAATGAATGTTTGTTCCCTGAAGTCTGTATATATTAATGTATAAACTTACTAAATAAAACTGCTTACACAAACTTAATAATCAATCCAAAGTAACATTTTGCACGTGGTTTAACACTTTAACTCCAGAAAACACTTTGGGTTAAATTCAGGGACAAGCACTCAGCCCAGTAATGGGTACTTTTTTGGAGAGAGAAGGAAGGAAGAGGGAATTTCATAGATGAAGTAGCCGTCTGTGGTACAACATATCCTGACTGATGGGATGTGTAAAAAGGAGGGGAACTGAAGATATGTGCAGTGATGGGTTTGTCCCAATCTTTTCTCCTCCTTCAGCCTACTCCTGCCCCACCCTCTCTGGTCTTCTGCTTTAAAGGGTGCCCCCACAGAGTTGGGCTCCATGTCACACAGAGCTATGCAATACATGGGACAAGCCATGGTTGTAATGTTTCAGTATTCGGTCTTCTTCAAGAAGGAGATGGGATGAAACAAGAATAATATTTTTAAAGGCTACAGCCAACAATGTTCCAGTACATATTTAGGGGTTCTTCTGAAGCAAATACTGGATGAAAAGCTCTGGTCGGCACTGTTTAAAATAGGGTTTATCCTTGGCAGTCATGATAAAGTGCAGTGGGTAAACATGTTAAGTGCATCACACACAGATGTTTTATGATGGTTTTTTTTTTTTGGTAAGTTTTATTAAACAAAGCTGGGTCTTTTCCCTGCTTCACAAGTGAAGAGGAAGGGTCTGTGATTTAAAAAAAACCAAAACTATTAGAATACTGGAATATTTTCAGTGCTTAAAGAATCTTAATAGACTTCCCAAACATCAGCTAAAGCATTAAGTCAGCCTATTAAAATGATAACCTAATACATGCATGAAAGACTTCCCGAATAGCAATATACATGCTTAAAGGCAACTGTGGCTTAGACAAATCAGGTACTATGTCATCCTGACCTCTCACTCAAAGCTACTCACCAGAGTATTTTTGTTTTAGGTAAGAAGAAATGTCAAATGTCAACAGCAGGAATTCAAATCTTTTATAGCATATCCTGTAAAAAAACCCAACCCTCTCTTAATGCAGGTAAATTCTCAAAGGGAAAAAATCAAAATGAAGACTTGGCAGATAGAACAACTGACAGAGAAGATCAAACAGTTTGAAAAAGGAAAAGAGCAACAGGTCTGCTTGAATACTGGGCAGGATCCACAGAGCCTGAAAGCCCAGAAAGAATCTGAGAAACTTCAGGAACTGCTTAGTGAAATGAAAATGTCAAATCAAACTCTCCAGGCAAAATTTGTGAGTGTAAATGATATCAAAGTAAGTATAGCTATCTGTAAAATCAGATGAGAAATGGCTACTAATTAAATTCTGGGAATTCAGTCTTTTCTCTTCTATTTCTAAGATTTTTAGGCTTTTTAAAAAACATTTTTTTGCAGAACAAAACCATAGAAGAACTCAGTAAATCTTTGGAAAAATTTGAAAAGATTAAGGAGAAAGCAGCTAGAAAGGTGGTCAGTTTGAAAACAGAACTAGACTACACAGAACATGAGGCAAGGAAGGAGAAAGAGAGGGCCCATCATATGTTGGAAGCAGTCACTAATGAGCTCCACATAGCAAAAAGAGCACTTGAAGAAGTAGCAAGAAGAGAAAAACAGGTACTTTCCTCCCATTGCTATTAAAGCAAATTATTAATGTCTTTTTTGCAACTCTTAAAAAGCTGATTAAATAGTTTTTAGTGGCTCTGGCCCATATTAGTTGCAACTCAGTTCACACAGTGGTAGCTCAAGGAGTTTTTAAGAGACTTATTCAACAACCTGAAAAAAAAGATTTTTATCCCAAAGATATCATGAACTGTGTTGCAGAAGAGAATAGGAATATCACAAGCACCATATTATTCCCTAAAAGGTCATTAGAAGTTATCTCATCCAGATTTTTTAAAAGAGGGGGGGGAAAGGAAAAAATTTCTAGGGCTTTAATTAATTAAAAATTTGTCTAGGTGTAGATTTTTTTTACCCTAAAACTGATTCTAGCAACATTCTTATCACATCCACTGCCTTATTACAATTATTGTGTAAAAGTAAGTGATATTTTTTGCTTTTCTTGTTGTGGTTCTTTGTAGCTTGTTGACTTTAGAGAAGCCATTACAAAAATTATGGGATTTTGCATAAATACATTGGCTATATCAGACAAGGAGGTCATCAGACAACTAAAGCAATTTATACAAGCCTATGAATTTTCTAAAGTTACTTCTAACAATGAATCAAAACTTTTGTGTGGTTTTACAACTGGATTTGAGAATCAGTAATGTGTATTTTGCTTCTTCTCAACACAACCTAGATTTTAGTGAGGATTTCTAGATTTCTGTAATATCATAGGTATAATCTAGTGATCAGTGCACAAGACTGGAAGTCTGGATTATATTCCTGGTTCTGTCACTTAATTGCAATGATACCTTGGGCACTCGCTGGCTCATGTTCCCTAGACAATACTTATCTGCCATAAAGTAGTGTTCTGAGCCTTAATTATTTGTTTAATGCTTTGAAATCCATGGACGAAAGACACCATATAAGGATTATATAGGCTTGAATAGAGACTGGGAGTGGCTAAGTCATTATGCAAGGTAATCTATTTCCCCTTGTTTTTTCCTACCTACATCCCCCCTCTCACCCCCCACCCTGTTCCTTAGACGTTCTTGTTAAATCCTGGATTTGTGCTGGAAATGGCCCAACTTGATTATTATACATATTGTAAGGAGAGTGATCACTTTAGATAAGCTATTACCAACAGGAGAGTGGGTTTGTGGAGGGGGTGGAGAGAAAACCTGGATTTGTGCTGGAAATGGCCCAACTTGATTATCATACACATTGTAAGGAGAGGTTTCAGAGTAACAGCCGTGTTAGTCTGTATTCGCAAAAAGAAAAGGAGTACTTGGGGCACCTTAGAGACTAACTAATTTATTTGAGCATAAGCTTTCGTGAGCTACAGCTTACTTCATCGGATGCATACTGTGGAAAGTATAGAAGATCTTTTTATACACACAAAGCATGAAAAAATGGGTGTTTACCACTACAAAAGGTTTTCTCTCCCCCTACCCCACTCTCCTGCTGGTAATAGCTTATCTAAAGTGATCACTCACCATCACAGGGCCTAATAACATCAGCCACACTATCAGAGGCTCGTTTACCTGCACATCCACCAATGTGATATATGCCATCATGTGCCAGCAATGCCCCTCTGCCATGTACATTGGTCAAACTGGACAGTCTCTACGTAAAAGAATAAATGGACACAAATCAGATGTCAAAAATTATAACATTCATAAACCAGTCAGAGAACACTTCAATCTTTCTGGTCACGCGATTACAGACATGAAAGTTGTGATATTACAACAAAAAAACTTCAAAACCAGACTCCAGCGAGAGACTGTTGAATTGGAATTCATTTGCAAATTGGATACAATTAACTTAGGCTTGAATAGAGACTGGGAGTGGCTGAGTCATTATGCAAGGTAACCTATTTCCCCTTGTTTTTTCCCACTTTCCCGCCCCCCCAGACGTTCTTGTTAAACCCTGGATTTGTACTGGAAATGGCCCAACTTGATTATCATACACATTGTAAGGAGAGTGATCACTTTAGATAAGCTATTACCAGCAGGGGAGTGGGGTGGGGGGAGAGAAAACCTTTTGTAGTGGTAAACACCCATTTTTCCATGGTTTGTGTGTATAAAAAGATCTTCTATACTTTCCACAGTATGCATCCGATGAAGTGAGCTGTAGCTCACTGAAGCTCATGCTCAAATAAATTGGTTAGTCTCTAAGGTGCCCCAAGTACTCCTTTTCTTTTTGAGAATACAGACTAACAGGCTGTTACTCTGAAACCTGTCATATAAGGATAAAGTATCGTTATATTAACCTTCACAAATCATCAAACAGTTGTTGAAGAGTACCACCTACTAAATAATTTAAGTGTATTATTTTCACCATGATCTATAGTACTTAATAAAAAAAAAAGGCATGCACTATATCCTCAGCTGCCGTAATTCATGGCCCCATGAATTTTTTGTAGATTAGCCTGGATTTGTCAGAAGTTAGAAATAAATATCAAGGGCCACAAATTTTTAAAGCGGAGGCAAAGCTCTGCGAATTAATCCAAAAACTGTACATGCAAGTTGTGCATGAGCAAAATTATAATATGTGAACTACCAATAATTTTCTGATTTAGTATATTTCCAAAAGCATGGCCTGAATTTTACAAGTGTTATGCAAACACAACTCCATATGAAATCAATGGGAGCTATACATGCTCAATACCTCTGAAAATTAGGCTTTTGCCTTTTAACACACTCTTAGTATTTTTATATAAATTTTACTGTTCTTAGTTATTACTGTTGTTTTTACGCCATTGTATTTTATTTAATCTCTCATGACAGTATTTCTGTTATTTGTCTCTCAATTATTGATTTTATTTTTATAAATGTTATGTTAGATTCTCTTTCATATATTCCTTTACTCCCCATTATTTATTATTGTTATTTAGATAGTGGCAGTATTCCAAATGAGCTAAGGGTTCTCCAAACATCTGAGGTCCCATTTCTTGCCCTTAAGAGTCTACAGTGTAAAAAGACAAAGACAGACAAAAGTTGTGGAAAACAGACATGACATACAAGTAGAGCAAGCAGAGTGATAATAAGAACGAGTATTTTAGTTTGTTTAATTTAAATAACTCCATTCCCCCCTATAATTCAGCCATTTTATCATCTTCTCACACAAGTCCCAGCTTCATTTCCCGTGTCCCATGCCCTTCCCCCTAACATTCAACCTCCTCTCTACATATAGATGAGCAGTTCATTCACGAGGTAAAATAATAATTAATAATAATAAGAGAAGGTTTACTCACCTTGTGCGGTAACTGAGGTTCTTTGAGATGAGTGTCCCTGTGGGTGCTCCGCTCTTGGTGGGACGTACCAACACCTGGAGTGGAGCACTCACAGGGAAATTGCTCGAAGAAGAATAAAAAATACAAGAGATGAATTACTCAGCTAATTTCTTGTAAGGATTACTGAGAAAATGGGAATACAGGAGGGATTTAAATGAGGAGAGGTTGGTGACATTGTAGACTAGCTCAAGCAAGGTGTTCAATGTGTAGGGTGTAGCATGAGAAGGAACCCTGAAGACAGTTGTGCATGAACCAGGCAAATGGCGTAACTCTTACATATCATTAGGTCTTATCTTTTCATTTTGTCTTGCTGCCTTATTTCCCATTTTTATAAGATACCTCTGACAGTTATAGATACTGTGTTCCAGTGACATCTTCTTCCACAAATCCACTAGTGTTCATTCAAAACTGCAGGGATCCAATGAAGATGGAGACAGACATCTGGATTTTTGGCACACCTCAATTTGCCTTTTAAAATATTTAACTTGAGCCTATGTGTTCTTCTTATTAAAGAAATTAATGTGGGAATATTGGTAATTTATGGTGAATCCTAGAGCCTCTAGCATTCTAATCAGAAGATTTCTCTTCTTCTCATCTGGTAGTATTCTTCATCAACCAACCATCTCATGAGTTCCCAACTCTGCAGTGCCACAACACTGTAATCATAGATATGTGTTTTAGGTGGGTGTGACATTCCTCAGGATACAATCTGGACTGTTGAACAGCTCAATTCTCAACTGTCCCCTCAATTCTCCAATCTGGGGTGCCTTTTATGTTGCTTTGCTATGAGAGCAGCCACTCCTGGCTTGTTCACACACAACCTCTCATGAAATCAGTGCTCTAGCCAGTCACTCCTGAATTATATTGCAGGATGATCAGTGAATTTGCAGTCCCAGACTTGTCCCCAGAAATGTGCATCTTGTATTGCCCAGCAACCTCCTGGACAATACAGTGCATATAGAAAGTTTGCAATTTCACTAACAGAAAATGGTATGCACAAACCCTGTTATTGCAAATGGAGGTTCCCAAACGCTTCAGTTCAAACGCACACTGGTTTAGTTAAAACAATAGAGCAGGTTTATTAACTATGGAAAAATAGATTTAAGTGATTACAAGTATCGATGCTTAAAAGTCAGAATTGGTTACAAAGAAATAAAAGGTAAAGGGAAACTAATTCCTAATTTAACAAGCTAAGTGAATTTAAAAGCAGAAGGTTTCTCTCACCAAATGCTTACAGCAGTCTGGCTGGATTCCTTCAGCCAGGACCACCCCCCCAGTTCATTGATGCTTCTTTTGTCTTTCAAATGTTTATCCGTGAGTAGAGAGTATATCTTTTCCTCCTCTTTGAGAATAATTTCCAGCTGGGGTTCAGGCAACAGCCATTCTGTTTACACGGGAACCCTCCAGGTTTTCCATTGTCAAGATGTAAATTTCTCACTCACACCCTTTTTCCTGCCAAAGAATGGCTGCTTACCCAGATGATAGTCCATTTGATTGTTTTGACACATGGATGAGGCATCAGTTTGCCTTTTGTCTCTGAGGAACTGGTCTGGACTGCTTCCTCAGATTTGGAATATGCCTTAGTAACATCATAAAGTAGAATCTTATACTTTACACATATATTATACTTGCCACACATATTTTACCAGGACAATAATGATCAGTGAATTAGGAGTTTTCATAGAATCATAGAAGATAAGGGTTGGAAGAGACCTCAGGAGGTCATCCAGTCCAACCCCCTGCTCAACTCAGGACAAACCCCAACTAAATCATCCCAGTCAAGGCTTTGTCAAGCCTGACCTTAAAAACCTCTAAGGAAGAAGATTCCACCACCTCCCTAGTAACCCATTCCGGTGCTTTACCACTCTCCTGGGGAAAAGTTTTTCCTAATGTCCAACCTAAACCTCCTCCACTGCAACTTGAGACCATTACTCCTTGTTCTGTCATCTGCTACCACTGAGAACAGTTTAGATCCTTCCTCTTTGGAACCCCCTTTCAGGTAGTTGAAAGCAGTTATCAAATCCCCCTTCATTCTTCTCTTTCGCATACTAAACAATCCCAGTTTCCTCAGCCTCTCCTCATAAGTCATGTGATCCAGCCCCCTAATTATTTTTGTTGCCCTCCCCTGGATTCTTTCCAATTTTTCCACATCCTTCTTGTAGTGTGGGGCCCAAAACTGGACACAGTACTCCAGATGAGGCCTCACCAACACCGAGTATTTACAAGGCAATTGTCCAGTTAAGATCATATAAATCATGTCCTAGTAACACAGATGTAATGGGCCTAAATTCTCCTTTCACACTAGGGTAAATCAGAAGTAACTCAGTTGAAGTCAGTGGAATTACAACACTCTAAAATTGGTATGAAAAGAGAATTAGGTCAAATGTGCATAGTTTAAAATATAATAACAGTTTTTGCTAAAAATGTATCTTTTAGCAAGAGGTAGGTCAAACCAATATCAAGAGGTGTGGTAAGGCATGGTATTACAACATTGTATTGCCCCAAAGACAAGTATTGTGGCATCTGTGGCACTTTGCTAAATTTTTGCTCATGTGCAAACTTAAAAGGCCTGTTTTTTTCTCTGTTTTCTAGCAGTTCATACCAACCCCAGAACTACTATTTCACTGATAATATGACACTATTTATTACACTAAATCTCAGCATTAAGATAAAAAGGTAACAGGTTTATTGAACATGTTTGGCTTTGCTAGTGGTCTGCTTAAAATGATCTAAAACTTCTAGAGCCTGATTTTCAGGTTTGACCTGGCTCTTTTGTGCTGGTGGAATGGCAAAAAAGGTCATATAGCCAGAGGATCTGACTACCTGGGAAATCTACAGATCTTCACCAACCCACTCCTGCAATTCCTGGCATATGGGGTACATTCAGGAGAAAGAGGAAGTGGCATCATTGTCTTTGATTATTCCTGACTGTTGGAATGGTACCTTTAGGATGTAGGTTAGAGAAACACTAAGACTGCTCTAATTTATGCCAAGCGCTGAACTGGCCCCCCAGCCAGCCTCCAAATCGTGTTCCTGGTAAGGTGGCATAAAGTCTCCTGTGCCCCATCCTTAGGTCCTGTAGTGAGCACAACTAAACAGATTCCACTGTTGGGATCCTAAGGTACTGTATTCCAGCATGTTTTGTTTTTGTTTTATTATTTTCAGCACCGTGTGCTAGTGAAACCTGTTTAGTGAAAAATCGAGTGTATTCAAGGTTTGGATACTAACTTTCCTACAGCTTCTTCATAGATCAATACAGAAGGTGTAATCCTGATTCCTAGCCTCACTGAAGTCAATGGCAAAACTTTCATTGACTTCAACCAGGCCAAGATCTCACTTAGAGTCCAAGCATGTCGACAGTCCTCAGTTTATACAGCTAAGAGTTTAGAAACTATACATAAAAATATCCAGAAAGGAGGTTCCTTTCCCAGGGAAATCAGTGAAGTAGTTTTGAAGATGAATTTCTAATACTAATAAAGAAAATGTAATAGGCCATTGTATGCACCTGTTGTTAGATTGTACCTTGTATCATGATCAATATAAAAGAAAATGATATTTTCTTGATTATTCATTCAAGCAGGAAATGAGGTCTCTTACCTGCAAATTGAGATGTTTCCTAAGTAATTGGATAGCGTTTGTACATCTTCAATTTTTGATGTTATTGAGTAGTTTATGGCATTTACTAAGATGTTTTATCCTAATCATTTTTTGATGGGATAAAATACCACTATTACAAGATGGAACATTTTCCTGAAAGAAGAAACCATTTAACAAAATAGATTCTGAATTACAATTACTGGTCAGTGATACATATACTGTACAATACAGCTGCAAGAAATATTTAAAATATCAACCCGGAATTAACTATATGAATTATTAAAAAATGTTTAATTGTAGTGGTTTTCCTTCTTCTTTTAACCCGAAAAAGGCTCTGGCAGAAATGACTTTAGTGCTACAAAACATTTTTGTAAAGACATATCTGTTGCAGAATTACAGAATTTTTAAAATGTTCTAAATATGATTCTAAAACAGAACTGATTTAGGAGCATAGTTAGTGAAATGGTAAACAAAAGTTAATGCAATATTGGTCTCCTCTGTGATGTGTTAGATGAGAAAACTGGAAAATTTACTGTTCATCTGTCCTAGAAAGCATTTAAGCCAACATTTTCTAAAATGTCCACTAATTTTGGTTGCTTTAATTTCTGGTTGCTCAATCTGAGACACCTCGGGCTAGATTTTCAGAGGTGTTGAGCACCTTGCATAAATTTTTCAAAGCACCTAAATAATGTAGAGACAGATTTTCAAAGGTATTTACGTGCCAAAGGAAGCAGATAAGTACCTAGTTGGATTTTCAAAAGCATCTAAGCAGGTTAGGCACCTAACTCCATGGAAGTTAGACACCTAACCCATTTAGGTGCTTTTGAAAATCCCACTTAGGTGCTTTTGAATTTTTTACTCCACATACCCTAGTAACGATATTTGGACCTGTGGGTGCTCCACATTTCTGAGAATCAGGCTTTAGCCTTCTCAGGTTTAGCACCCAAAATTAGTGAAGACTTGAAAATATTGACCCTAACATCTGTATTTTGTGGTGGTTAATTATGTGCTAGATTGTGCCTGTAAGTACAAGCCTGTGTAAGGTGTGGCATGTAGCCACAAAATCCCAGGAAGAGCCCAGTGATCTCTTCTTCCTCTTTTTACTAGGAGAGAAATAATCCATTAGACCCTCTACAAGGTGTATAGAGGACTCCCTCCTCCACTTCTCCCCGCCGCACACTCCTTGCTACCTCACTCATGGGCAAAATAGTCGCTTGCTCTTCCCCAGACACCTGGAGCAAAAATTTGTGGTGGGGGTGGGGTAGGGAAGGCCATAGTCCAGTCTGTGTTTATGTGGAAGGGTCTTACTCCTCCTCACTAGTAAGAAGCAAATCCATCTCCCTCACTTGCAGCTGTGGATTGCTCTTTTGGGTAGAATCTTCGTGGTTCTGCTCTGCAAGGATGGGGTGTGGGGCTTAGGCACTGAGCAATTCCTATGGAGAGCCCAGCTGCATGTACATTCTGTATAAAACATTCCACTGGGGCAGGGGAATGGGTAGGCTGAAGGATCCCATTACACAAATTCTCCCATGTAAGAACTCAAGGAGGTACTCTAGCCATAGGGCTACAGTAGTCTCATTGGAAAGGCTCCATAGCTTGAGGAAAGGAGGAGGATTGATTCTTCCACTCCCTATTCCTCTGTAGCTAACTCAGGGTTGGCCTCTAAATGTAAATATGTAACTTTCCACACAACAGGTTTTTAATAAATGCTTAGTTGAAATTAAGGTTAGGCAGTTAAGTCCCTGATCATATACAAGAGTCCATTATAATGTTGCTAGGTAAAGATTTTAAATCTGTTTTGCTATATGACACTAGGAATTTGAGTAAACATAGCATATATTGCGTGTTGCATTTTGCAACTATGTTCAAACCAAAAAA